AAATACAAGATCGTATCCCCATAGTGGGTGGTGGTGAGCATGTTATAAAACAGACTTGCAAGTGGCAATGTTTCCTGAGAGCTAATGGATTTATAAAGTGTGAAACAACCCTAGTCCCACCTCACTAGGATTGTGAAGAAATGAAGTCACAGTCACAGGAACAGGTGGTCCAAGGGCCTGGGAGAGATGCACTGGGGGCTGGGGCCCTCCTGTTTAATGAGGGCATTCACCTGCCGCGACCACAGACCACAGAGGGGCTGCCGGGCGCTCATGCAACTGAAATGGCAGGGTCCCTCCCCAGCCCCCTACCTCGCTGCATTCCTATCCTTCTGTTTCTTAAAAAGGGTTCCCAAATTTTATGAGCACTGGGCCCCACAAAATGTGCGCCCATGAGTGTAAGAAAATGTTAAAAGAGGGACATTTACAGTCCTTGAGAAGCACTTCCAAACAGGAATGTGGGCAGCTGGGGGCCCTTCTCTCTGGAAGGTTCTATCTGGATTCCAACAGACTGTCCTTTCTCACATCCTGAGGAATAACCGTCTCTTGGCTCTTCTGGCTGCCCCCACCTGCCCCCAGTTGCTTCACCCCTTTAGCGAACTCCCGGAAAGGAGGGTACGCAGGTGCTGTCTCAGATTGCCCACAACACTATTTCGGGCCCACTCCAGTCAGGCTGTCACCCCAGTCCTGGTGAAGGTGACCCAAGACCTCCATGCCCCTGAACCAGGGAGCCCCCACAGCATGTGGCCCCCCCTCCCGAGATTCCTTGGCTGGCTCCTCCTCCCACCTGCCCCACCTGTAATGTCAGGTGGAGCTTCTGCAAACACCTCCCCCAAGCTCCCACCCAGATCCCCTCTCTCTATTAAACACACCCACTCAGTCTCCACTCAGACACCGAATAGCTGTGTCCAAAAGGGAGCTCCTGACCGCTCCCTTGTCAGTGGCAAAGTCATTCCTCCAGTGGCTCACACCCTCTGTGGTGTGTCCGCAGGCTCGATCTCCCATCTCTTTTACTAACATGCTCCCTCCACTTCTCTCTCCTCCAGCCACAGTGGGCTCCTAGGATTCCTTGACCACTTAGCTCTGCCCGCCCCAGGACCTTTGCACTTGCTGTCCCCATTTCCTAGAATGCGCTCCTCCACCCCCATCCCCTAGATATCTACATGGCTTGCTTCCATCAGCACTTGCTATCCCCCTTTCCTGTCTTATTTTTCTCCTTGACTCTTCTTTATAAGGGTCAGGTCCTTATCTTCCTCAGGCATCCTGCTTACATGGCCCTCTGTCTACTCGTGATCTTTCTGTTGGGTGAGCCTCCGTGCACACAGCCGTGGGGTAATCACTGGGACAATGGGGACACCAAAGAGATGCATGCCCACTCTTGATTTGTGGAGGGGGTCCTTGTGCTGGTCACATGGGGGAGGGGCTGTGTGAGAAGGAGCCAGCCCTGCTGAAGTTGTTTATAAGGAAACATCCTACCAGGCTCCAGGCTCCTAATGGAACGTGTTATCTGAGCATCCAGCCTGCCCTTAAAGACCATTATCTCTCCCTCCCTCCAACAGACCACCCGGGCAGAAGCCTGTATATCAGTGAGACCCCTCCCTCTCCCTCAACGTCCCTCCCTGCCCTGCCTGTTCCAAGGGACTCTGCCTTCCGTCCGCCCTCACCAGAGGGACGGGTGTGGGTCTGCCACTGAATTCTGACTCCGGTCCTTTCGACAAACACAGCAAGTGGTTCTCAGGGAACTACTAGGCCAGGCGCCGCCCGCATGCTAACAACGCGGTTGTGGCAGAGATGCGGGTCCCTGAGGATGTCTGCTCCGGCTGTGCCCCGGGCCCCGGGGGTGCGGGAAGCAGATCCCATCCCACAGCTGCCTGGAGGACTCGGTGGCTGCATGGGAAGCCCTTAGTCCTGGAACCAGCAGAGGCCCAAGCAGGGTTTGCTAATTCTTATTGCCATATTCTCCCCGGGGCTAATCTCTCCGATTAACCCAACTTCCCCTGAGTGGTGGAGACACTGTCCCAAAGCTGCCACAGGGCCACCAGCCCTTTGCTGGCTCCAGAAGCCCTAGGTGTCCAGGTGGGGCTGGGGGCGCTCACCCAGGCTGCTCCCCTGCGGCTGGCTCCGTCTCTCTTCTCTGCACCAGCGGGTTCCACAGACCCTGTGGCTCCTCGGCACGTCGTGCCTCCGAGCTTGCTGGGACTGCTGCCCACCTGCCCCCTCCTGCATCTGGCCACGCACCTGGGGAGCACATGCAGGGACCTCAGGTCTTCTCTGGCCACTGGGGGTCCAGGCGCTGTGTGAGCAGGCCCCTGCAGCCCAGCAGTGCGGCCCTGACTGCGCATGGGCTGTGAGAGCTGGGGGGTAGGGGGGCACCCGGGCCAGGAGCTGCGGCGGGCGCTGCAGGGACAGGACAGTTGGGAAACGAGTCCAGCGTGCTGTGTGGGGGTGCTGTGGGTGTGGCTGTGGTCTAGAGCCCTCAAGTGTTTCCTCATCCACATGGGTTTTTTTAATTGCCCTTTGGAGTTCATGCACCTCATCTGCTCGTGTTTGTGACCTGAGCAGAGTCTATCCACATACTAGCTGGAATTTATGGTGAAACAGTCAACCCTCAGCCCTATGCAGGTAAATTATCTGCTTTACGAATATCCCCAGCAAATTGTTAATTACAAACCAGGATGAAAATGAAGTTCAGTCCTTGTCTACAAAAAAATATAATTACAAAGGTAAGTCTGTTGACAAGGAAAATAAAGCAAACTCAAAATGCATGCAGTCGGATCTACTAGAAATTATTTAGATTGATTTGTTTACTTCCTTTAGCTTCAGTAAGCTGAAGTTTAGCTCCACCGAACAAAAATTACTGAGTGTGTATCACGCACAACATATTGTGCAATTTGCTGCCACAGGAAGTGATGAAGGGGCCGCCCTCATTATCTGAAGTGTACGAGGGTCGGCGGGAATTGCAATTACGATTTTCTCAGAAATGTCAAAAAGACAATGAGGCTTGGCTCATTTCTCCCTTACTTGTCAAAAGACCCCTTTCAATTGTATTCGGCAAAATGAACCTCTGTATTTTGTTAAAGGTGTGTGGCTGTCTCTACGAAACGCATGAGGTGCAGGCCCCCCACCTCCGCATCCAGAGGGAGGGGACGTCCCTAGGACTGGACCTTCTGAATGCCGATCCATTCATTGTTCTACTGCATAGTCTTCCTCACATACACTTTCCTTGACAAACACCTGACTATGAATTTGGGGGCACTCTATTCCCACACAAGCATAGTGGAATTTTATAAATACCTTAAAAAGAGTTGTAACTGGCAAGCCTGACATTTGCAGAGAGGACCATTGGCCTACTCACAGTGGGACTCCCCACAGCCCAGCCTTCACTCAAGTCTGCAGGGCAGGACCCAGGCCCTCTGCGGCCCACTCACCCCAGGAAGAAGCAAAGAGACATCTGTGGGGAGGAGAAGCTGTTTGTGTTGCCAAAATAGGCATCCAAATGGAGCCCAGTTTCTGGGTTGCCCTGGCCTGACCTCTAAGAAGTTTGGGGTGGGGTGGGGGGTGGGCTGTGATGAGGGCTTTGAGTCAGGGACCTGGGAGCTTCCCGGGTTTGATCCACTGCCCTGTGTACCCATACTGTGTGTCTGACTCCCTTACTCCCGCCCTGTTTATCCATTTCTGAAACAGAGCATGAAGGCATGAAGCAGAAATATTAGGAACTTTGGCACAACCAGCATCCCCTTTCCACTGCCCCTGCTGACCCCCATTCAAAGTTGGGAATATCATGTTCTCTCCTCTCACCAGTCTCTTCTGAGGGAAGGATCAGGCTCAACACTTCTATTACCGTGGACATACTTCTCTTAGAATCATCTGCATTTGAGTGTGGTTGCTAGATCCCTTGGGAATATGAGGGCAGCCGGTTTGGGCAGGGAACCCTGGCACCGCATACAGCTGGCCCAGGGGACAAGGGCTCTTAGCCTCTTGCCAAACCAGACTCCCCCCTAACTCCTAACATATACCAGTGGGTCCCCGAGGGCTCCAGAGAGTCAGATTCAGCTCTGCTGACCAGGAGTCTGAGTCAGGAAGGACGTGGGCATCTTGGCTCTCCCCCCTCCTCCTACTTTCCCACTGCCAGCAGGAGGCCAAGAACACAGGGAAAAGTCCATGGGACCACCAAACCTGTGCGCCCAGGTGACTAATGTCTAGACAGCAGGCTTCCTTCGGATCAAGAGGGTGACACTGCAGGCTAGTCAACAGAGACTTGGGTGCGGCAGAACCCAGCGCTTGCCCCCTCCCCCTTGGGCATTTTCTGGTCTGTTTTATGTGTGCCCTTTGCCTGTCCCTCGGGGGGAACTCGCACTCTCCAGCGGAGCACCTGTTCGTGGTGCCAGGATCCATGCAAAGCTCCTCACCTGGGGCTCGCAAAGGCCAGGCTTGGGACACGCGGGAGCACCAGCCCCGCACTGAACCGGGGTCGGGGTGGATTCGGGCCAGCAGCCGTTTTGGACCTAGTCCCCAATGTGTGACATGAGGCGTGGAGGAGATGTTATCTCAGGTCCCTCGTGGCCATGGCCGGTGAGGGTAGTTTCAGAGGCTAAGAGCCAGGAAAGGTTCAGAAAGCAGGGGTTCTGCGGCGGCCAAATCCGGCCTCGCCAGGCCGGCGCCGACTCTGCGCCCGGGTCCCCGCGCGTCCGAGGTGCTCCGCGTGGCCAGGCGGTCCCCGAGGAGGTCCGGGAGGCGGGCGGCG